GGGAGGAGCCGCTCCCGTCGGGCACCTGCCGGCAGCATCTCGCCCCCGACTTCGTTTGCCAGGGAGTTAGGGAGCTTTTTGCTCGGCTTTCATGGGGTGGCTGCTTGCGAAGCCACCGGATCCCTCTGCGCCCCTTCTTCACAAGCCTACATACAACCACAGAAGAAAAAAGGTGAACAAACAGCCTCTGTGGACATGCAAGGGGTCAGGTCTTGCCCGGGGCCACAGCCTGGGGGCCGAGGAGGAAAGGGAAATCAGCCCAGGGGCCGGCTGGATTCCCCTGTACTGTGTCCAGCTTCACCCCCCAGCCTTGTCAGAGCAGCCTTCAGCACCGCGCTCTCCGCAGGAGTGTGTGGAGACGGTCAGCTGCTTGGTCAGTAGAGCAGACTTTCAACAGACTTTCCGTTAGTCCTCAGCAGCTATCCTGGCTGCCATGAGGTGAAAAGCAGCACCCGCTTGCGAGCTAACAGCTGGCTGAAGGAGAGCAAACAGAGGGTGGGAATATGCAAAGGGATTCTCCACCCCCCCCCCACATTTGTTTCATCTGCTGATAGGATGCCGGTGGGACCTTTCCCCAGCCTGTGCAATGCCACATATTCAGGCTGCTGGAAAAGGGAATGATGAATAATGAACTGGTGGAGTTTGGTGACGCCTTGGCACCAAACCACCAAGCTGTTCTGGAGAGTCAGACCAAATGCAGCAAGGAGGAGCAGGATTGTTATAGCGCTGGGTGACAAAAGAGCAGGTGAAATTCAGTGTACAGGGGAAGGAGGATACCCCTAACTGCCTACACAGTTATTAACTGTTACCACTCAGGAAAAAGGTCTTGGAGTCTTCAGAAATGGCAGCTCAAGAATCAGCGTGGCAAAAAAAAGTGCAAAGGCGTGTCAGTAAGGAAATGAGCACGCAAAGCACCTTAAATATGTATGGAGGCCTCCCTGCATCAAGGTAGTATTCCAGAATCTTGAACAAATTGGAAGAAATTCAGGGAGTGTGGGATTTTCATAGGCACCACAGGCCTTTTGCAGTAAAACTTGTCATCTTGGAGTTTTCACAGGATTCCCAGAGGTTTCAGAGGAAGGAGAGGCTGGACACCGAAATGCTGCCAACAAGAACACAGGGATGCACAGAAGAACTGAGCTGCTCAGTGGCTAAACGTTAGCAAGTACTCATTTAAGAAGAGGCAGACTCCTACCAGCAGGGCAGGTTTGGGGACTGAGACAGAGGAGGCTATCAGTACCCTACTGATAGCCTGTTCTGCTGCCATCAGGGGGGCTGTACATGGAGTTGTAGACCTAAGCCATTTATTGTGAGTCCTCCCTAGCATTCCTCTCATCGTTTTCACTACACTGAAACACAAAGAGGAGAGCTTTATAGTTTCATGGAGAGGCTTGTAGAGTAACTGACTTCACAGGCTTCACAGGCCTCCCAGAGCATCCAACATCAGGAATACCTTCTGCTCCCCCAGTTACAGGAAAGACACAGGCAAAATTCTTGAAACATAATTCCAGCGTGTTTTCTATTTGGAAATCTGTTTACTCATCTGAAAGATGAGTTGCTAACTTGAATAAGTTGCTAGTTGAAGATGAAGTTGCTAGCTGCGGGGGAAATAGCCATTAATAACCTTAACGCACCATACTTTTTCTCCCAAGTTTACGGGATTTTTTAATCAAAATAGTTGAAGATGATATCACCTATTCTGAAAAGTGACTGAAAGCTCAAGTCAGGATTTGCTGAGGTGGAAAGATGGCCTAAGGCCTTTGAGGGTTCTTCCTGAGCAGAGGCAACAGGATTCCCACCTGCTGCTATGTTGGTTGCCAGCTTCTTGCGTTCTCTGAAAGCTAGAAATAAAAATTCCTTTCATGTGAATCCCTTTTTTGAATGAAGCAGCTTTATCAATGCTTTTGCTACAGAAATTCACGCAGTAAGCATGGGAGTGACAGAACTGATGGCTACTTTATCATATTAAAAATAAAGCCGGAGTCTGCTTTGATTTAACAGTTCCTAGAAGAATCCACGTAGTAACGATTCTGGGTTTGGCTGTGATGTCTTAGTCATTCAGCAGTACTAGAAACAAACTTTGTAGCATACACTGAACATAGCATTAGAAAATTTCCTGTCTCATGAACCTGGACAAGTTTAATTGGCTGAAGTTGAAAGGTTAAGGATTAGTTCCCAGCTGCTGTTGTAGCAGTGATTAATGCTACTCTCTCTTCTGCTGGAGTTCCTTGCACAGAATAAAATCTAAAAACAAAATGCCACAAATCTACCGCAATTTCTCCTTGTTAGCAACACCAGTTTGTCTTCTTTGGGTCACACATTAGATCCACTTCCTTAATAAGTTGCCATAAATATGGAGCATGGCATCATCTCTTGCTCACACTCTGGGCTAGTACTTTCTGCGTTCTGGGGCCAGCCAGAGTTGGTCTGACTGACAGTCCTTAAACTCCCTTGCAGATCAGTGTAGCCAAAAGGAAACGATAAAGAAATCACACTGAAGAACATACCATGACCCCTCAACTACCACAGCCTGAGGTCTGCTGCTCTGCACATACCTACTCAGCACAGGCTTTTCAGCACTTCCCTCTGGGCGCTAGCCTCTAAGCCAAATTCCAGGCCCCTAGACCAATGCCAAGCCCTTCAAATCCCCATGCACTTAAGTATATCTCCCCTCCAGTTTCACTACTCCAATTTTGAGTTTAATCCTTTAGTTTGACGCACAATATTTGACACAAAAAACAACTGCAGCAGTGGAAAAGTGTTTATAATTGGACAGGTCAAGAAATATACCCAGTAAGTCAGAATAAAAAATGCCTGTGAACACAATTCCCTGCCTCTGTTTCCTGGGGGGCTTTAGAGCACTTTGTGGTTCAGCCTCCTTCCAACTGCTGTGCTGTTCAGATTTCTTTCTTTTCAAGGAACATGCCCCCTTTTTATTGGCAGTACGCTCTTCTAAAGCTCGACACAGTCATCTTTATCTTTTTTCTCCTCTTGCAATGACTTTTACTAGCCTGTCTCACTGGAATAACTGCATTCTCTTAGCTCCATTGAACACGGTGCCTGTTGTGATCATTCCCCTCCCAGAGCGCAGTCAGTGGGAGCTAATGCCACCCGGGGTGCCTCCCCGAAGGAGGCATACTGGCCTTCAGAAGGTGACACAGCCCCTTTGTCACATATCGGTGGACCAAGCCTACACACAGAAGTCCTGATGTCAATCCTGGCCCATAAAAGAAACAGTAGGAGATCCTGCAGGCTATCACAAGGCAACCTCTAAGCTCC